GCTCGTCCTTAAGTTATTTGTTTTTTTTTTTTTATGGCCTTATAGCAATTATATTCAACAACTAGCAGGGTATCCGACGTCGTTCGGGGTGATCAAATAAAAATCTAAAAACGATAATACAAACCTTCTCTTCCGCATAAAAAAGGATACATACTATTTAGAACAAAATTTTTTTTTACTTTAATTTAAGGTTTCCTTATAAACAATATTTTTAGTTTTATTGTGTGGTGCATAAACATATAGATTATTCGGACTTCCCACTCGTGAGCATCCGACATATAATTGACCGTGGGTAAAGCAGGGCTCTTCCAACTCAAGTCCAGCCACCTTTAACGTTTGACCTTGCGATTCGTTTATCGACATAGCGAAACTAAGCCTCAAAGGAAACTGAAGCCTTTTAGATTCTAACGGGAGATCTGTGGGAACTAATGCAATTCGTGGCAGAAAAACGTCTTCTCCTTGGCCACATCCAGTAATTGTTGCTTCAATTATATTTGTCATCATTTTCTTTACTACCAGTCTTGTTCCATTACAAAGTTTGGGTGGATAAGGTTACGCGGAAGAATAACAGGCACACCAATTTTCAAATTTAGATTATGGGGAGGAACTCCTGAGGGCTCAAGCGAATTCAAAAACTCCACTGGGTAATGTACACTTTCCTCCTGGCATGGCACGGTATCTATAGATTTGTACACGCGCGAAGTACCCGAAAGCTTTTGCAGAAGCTGAAAGTTGATGTTATTCACCGTAACATTTTTAGGAGCTAGAATGGCTCTTTCACACAGCCATTGATGTCTCGCATAATTTTCCGTAAGATTATCAAAGACTTTTGTTTTAAGCTCCTCTACAGTTTCAACAATGGTGGCTATTAAAGCAAGATGAACTTCGCCTTCAGTGTCGGTTTGTAAATCACCGTTTCCAAGTTTCAACAAATTAGATGCGAATTTATTCTACAATTGATCCCCATATACATGGGCTCTCATATTTGTACACAGCTTGAATTGTGTCACGCTTTGCCACAGATGTGATGCTTGGCTCAAATTAGAAAAAACAAGCAAATTGCACTCGCCGTAGCGTCTTCTGGCATTGCGGCAACTCTTCTGCCAGGAGGAAGAACAGCCCATGCTACATTCAAGATTCCCCTAAACTTAGCAGCACAAGAAACACCTACATGCAATATAAGCAAAGGAACGGGCTTATCAGAAGTCCTAAAGCGATGCCAGATTATCATCTGGGATGAATGCACTATGGCTCATAAAGCTGCTTTAGAAGCCTTAGACCGAACACTACAGGATATTTGCAGCAACAAGAAAATAATGGGCGGTAGAACATTGGTTTTGGCAGGCGACTTTAGACAAACATTGCCTATAATTCCTAGAGGTACACGAGCGGATGAAATAAAGGCCTGTTTAAAAGCATCACATCTGTGGCAAAGCGTGACACAATTCAAGCTGTGTACAAATATGAGAGCCCATGTATATGGGGATCAATTGTAGAATAAATTCGCATCTAATTTGTTGAAACTTGGAAACGGTGATTTACAAACCGACACTGAAGGCGAAGTTCATCTTGCTTTAATAGCCACCATTGTTGAAACTGTAGAGGAGCTTAAAACAAAAGTCTTTGATAATCTTACGGAAAATTATGCGAGACATCAATGGCTGTGTGAAAGAGCCATTCTAGCTCCTAAAAATGTTACGGTGAATAACATCAACTTTCAGCTTCTGCAAAAGCTTTCGGGTACTTCGCGCGTGTACAAATCTATAGATACCGTGCCATGCCAGGAGGAAAGTGTACATTACCCAGTGGAGTTTTTGAATTCGCTTGAGCCCTCAGGAGTTCCTCCCCATAATCTAAATTTGAAAATTGGTGTGCCTGTTATTCTTCCGCGTAACCTTGATCCACCCAAACTTTGTAATGGAACAAGACTGGTAGTAAAGAAAATGATGACAAATATAATTGAAGCAACAATTACTGGATGTGGCCAAGGAGAAGACGTTTTTCTGCCACGAATTGCATTAGTTCCCACAGATCTCCCGTTAGAATCTAAAAGGCTTCAGTTTCCTTTGAGGCTTAGTTTCGCTATGTCGATAAACGAATCGCAAGGTCAAACGTTAAAGGTGGCTGGACTTCAGTTGGAGGAGCCCTGCTTTACCCACGGTCAATTATATGTCGGATGCTCACGAGTGGGAAGTCCGAATAATCTATATGTTTATGCACCACACAATAAAACTAAAAATATTGTTTATAAGGAAACCTTAAATTAAAGTAAAAAAAAATTTTGTTCTAAATAGTATGTATCCTTTTTTATGCGGAAGAGAAGGTTTGTATTATCGTTTTTAGATTTTTATTTGATCACCCCGAACGACGTCGGGTACCCTGCTAGTTGTTGAATATAATTGCTATAAGGCCATAAAAAAAAAAAACAAATAACTTAAGGACGAGCACACCTAAAAGTTAAACATTCTAAAAATATAATTATTAGCAAAAACCAACAACCACATGATCAAGTGAATTGCAGCGGAATAGCTGCGCTTGATTGTGTTGGCATAACAAAAAAATGAAAAAAGTGGAAATAAGCAAAACGATAATTTACAAGGCGTCTTAGCACGGTGCATAGGCAACTGGCTGAGTCAGTGGGATCGTCGGTTCGAATCCTACTGAAAGAAGTCTGATGAGGAAATGTGGTGATTTCCGAAATAGCTATCACTTCTACAATTTTTTCAATTATCGTTGCTTTTCCACAATAAGTTTTTCATTAAAAACGGCCTCGAGCTCAATAAAAATGGTGGAATATAATTGTTATAAGGCCATAAAATAACAAAAATAAATAACTTAAGGACGAGCACACCTAAAAGTTAAACATTCTAAAAATATAATTATTAGCAAAAACCAACAAACCAACAACCACATGATCAAGTAAATTGCAGCCGAATAGCTGCGCTTGATTGTGTTGGCATATCAAAATGATAAAGTGGAAAAAAGCAACGATAATTTACAAAGCGAACTTAGCACAGTGCATAGGCAACTGGCTGAGTCAGTGGGATCGTCGGTTCAAAGCCTACTGAAAGAAGTCTGATGAGAAAATGTGGTTATTTCCGAAATAGCTATCACTTCTACCATTTTTTCAGTTATTGTTGCTTGTCCATAATAAGTTTTTCATTAAAATCGGCCTCGACCTCAATAAAACTTGTTGAATATAATTGT